AACCGGGCAAGTCCCTCCCTCTGCCGCCCCACCCACCGTCAACTTATCCAAACGCGCGTGGCGTGCTCGTGACCAGAAGTTTTGGCAAATGTGCAGCGAGCGAGAGAGTGCGACAGGGTACATGCGTAACAATTTTTTTTAAATCATAAAGTCCGTGAACTACGAAAGGATGGGTGTATAGGACGTCAGAAACGCACAGCGGCCAACAAAGAGGAACTTGAAAACACTTGGTAGAAGTGAAAATGAAATGTTATTTAACATCTTATAGCCTATACACACCCTTCCTGTGGTCAGATTTTATAAGACTCTTTCCCCCAAATGTGACTTTGCTTATATCTAAAAATATATTTATGTCTAAAACAAAACTAATCATTTTTCCAATCTTCTGCTAATCCCGCCTTATCCTACTTTTTTTCTAATTTTAAGTTGTGTTGCAAAATGAATGCCCCTATAGGCCTACAAGTACCACGATTGCGCGCAAATTGAAATATATGTTAAAGCTATTTTTTAATAAAAGAAGAAAAAATAACTCAAACTCAATAATAAACTCAATAATTTCCCATCACAGATTTCAGTATTACGCAGGAGTTTACTGTTAGATTTCCAATCATATCTGACGTGAATGAAGATCTCTTGTTGTTGCCCTCAAATCTGAAAACACAGAAATCGTAAAATCCACTGGACTGTTTGCTACTGCGTGAGTGTGTTAACCATCGTAATCGATTGTCTATCTCTTCATTAGTCGGTTGGATTATACATTTTCCACTTCATTAAACGCAGTGTGGGCTTGATCTTCAATGAGTTAAGAGACGCTCTTCCTTGTGTGCGTATTTAAGTGATTTTGACAGCGTGGTGTGCGGAGAGCAGGTGTGTGCGCTGTTCAACCACTCATTCAATTGTTTCCTTCAATTTTTAGCGTCATATTTGGCCCCAAGGAGTCGGCAATCTGATTACTGAGTCGATTGGTCCTGCGATCGAGACACATTTAGATCTGCTATGAGAATCCATTTGGAAATGTAATCAGCTACACCGTCTAGTTACTAGATTATCAATGATACATTTGGCTTGTGACTAATTGCTTTTATGCTTTGCTTTCAATGTCGTTTTTTGTTTGTTTGTTTGTCTTTTGTTTAAACTTTAAACACGTACAACCTAACTTTTCAGTAGACCCTTTGAATCAAACGCGTAGTCCACGTGACGTGAGTTTACGTCTTTTATTAGGCTTCACAAATCTTATGTAAATATTGGTCATTTTGCACACTTTTAACTACAAATGCCAAAGCACGAGAAACGCCCGCCAGTCGTCGTGCGTGGCGAGCCGCAGCTCAGTGGGGGTCTATTGTTACGACCGGCCACTGACAGACGGGGTCTCGCGAGTCGCACGTGCCCCCGCATTGATCCCAATTGTGCGCGCGATTGCGCACAGCTGTGCTCGTGACTGAACCTTTTCGACTATCCGGTGAAGTTTCCTTGTTTTTAAGAGCAGTATTTCCGGGGGAAAAGATATAATCACGCGATTAATCGACAAGAAGCGCTTGAAAACAGGCACTTATCAAACGATTTATTAGACATAAGCTAACAGATGGCTGAATATGGGAGCAACTGGGGGGTGGGGGCATCTGTTGCTTGGATGCTCAGGCGTCACTCGCGAGTAGATGTCTTGTGCTTGAAACAGTATTTATCTACCTCTCTAATCACTCCTGGTCAGTGCACTGGCCATAAAGGTATGTGGACAGGAAGATAAGCCTTGTCCTTTGTGTATGTGGCTAATACGACGTGCCCAAAGCTCCCCTGGTGGATGCACTTCTACACCCCCAAATATATACACTCTCCTTCTGTCCCAGGAGTGTGAGTATGGCCACGCCACACCTGCAGCCTGCATGGGGAATTGGAGCCTAGCAGTCTCCGACAATCCCCATCGGTTTCCCAAATGACTGACTGACTAACGGAAAGGGAATTGCCCTGCTCCCATTTAAGCAATAACATAGAAAGCCAACCTTCCGGAAGAGGTCATGGTGAACACAGATGATCTGAACCAACTTTTGATGAGTTTGCATGATCTGAACTTGGTAGATAGTTCCACATATTTATCTTTGCAACAAGTAAAGTTACAAGTAAAGTTAAAGTAGACAAGTAAAGTTACACAGTCTACTGAACTGACGTACTGTGTTTCAAAGAGATGCATTTTAATAATGAAGATTTTGTGAACATAAATCAGATTTTAATGTATGCTTTGATTTGATTGATTGGCCAAAACAGAAATGCATTGTCAGCTTTGGCATGAGCTGTCCAAGACAAGTTTATGTTCACGACTAAAAGAGTACCAGCCCCACTTTAGCTTTTTAAGTGCTGTTGTTGGTATTAATGGGGGCAACCCCATTCCTTACAAAAAAACCACTGCCACAAGTGAGTTGTCTCGCGCTCTTGTCCCCTGGGACTCCGAGTGGAATGGGAGGGATTGGTGCACTGTGCTGACAGATGGGTCCTTGTTCCGTCTTTTTCTTCATCTCTATCTCCCGCTCCCTCTTTTGCTAAAACACAGACACACTCACACACACCAAGACTGCACGAATACAATAGGAATTAAAGCTCCACACACATGCTCCCTGGCTCGCTCCTGAAAGCTGAGCCCCCTCGTACGCATAAAAGATGCAGCGAGCTTGGATTTGTGAGAGGAGCTGGCATGCTAGTTGGGGTGATGTGGCACAGGGTGGTTAGGCTAGAGAGAGATGCAACTTCACTGTTCAGAGTTTAGTGTCCTGAGCCCATTTGTACTATGTATGATGCAGTTTTCTCTCTACGATTGTCAGCATCCGATTTCAAGTTATTTTATGTTGCGTGTTAAGACGTCAGTCTTCCTCCCATTTGCTGTTCATCGTGGCTGAATACAATTACAAAGCAGACGTCTCAGAATTTTTTATTGTAGACTTTTAAGCTCAGTTGTTTTTGGTGAAACTGGAAAGATCTTTAAATGAAGTGTTTCTCCCAAATTAAATTGTGCAAACTAAATGTAAAGAGCTCAGAGCTCAGTTGTAAGTTTTCACACTTTTGCAACTGCGGCTCATTTACATGAACGTCCTACTGCTGACATTCAGCATGGCCGACTGAATAAAGGTGTGTGTGCAGTCGAGCTCCACAGAAAAGTGTACGGTTTATTTATCCTGTTGTGTCTGAACATAATTCCATGTTCAACTTGATACCTTTTTTTTTCTGGAAAATCTCTTGTCATATCCATATGGTGCCAATAAATTAGAGTCTCCTGGATCACAAAGGGCATTTAGATAAGATCAGGCAGCATATCATCTCCAAAATATGAGTAGATTGTTTGCAGCTTATTCCTCTTCCTTTGGGCTAATGGATTTGGAAAACATTCCAATCGAGCAGA